TCACAGTCAGATTTCGGTGTGTTTACCCTTCCTAGAATATGGTGAGGGTGGGGATGGGCTTCTTGAATTTTACCTTGAAATGTTCCACATTTCAACTTTTAAGGAAAATATTAAATGCTCAGAAATCACAGGGGATAGTCAAGTATCCTATTTTAATGAAGCCTTCTGGGAGAAAGGCAGGACACAGTGGCCAGTGTGAACCTGTGGGCAGAGGTCCTTACAGGACTTGGATGATGTGATACAGTGCTGAGCCCAGAGAGAACAGGAACTACCACCCAAATCAAAGCCAATCAGGCAAGTTCATTTGCTATGCATAGGACTCACTCTCCAACGTGGGATCTGAGAGTACAGGATTCCTTCTAAAGGGAAAAAATGTAAACTGGGTATTTTGTAACATAAAGATCATGCAGGCTAATTTTACAGAAGCAGATAGCAAATTAGATTATCTGACAGATCATCTTGGCAGACTATCTTAAGGTTCCTTGACAAAAACATTTTATCTTATTGGATAGAGTATGTGTGAGTCAAACTTGAATTTTATAGCAACTAGAAACAACTTATTCTGACCTTATAACAAAATGGCTTTTTACCCTAAGACAGAATTAGTCTGGTCCATCAATAGCTTTAAAAGACATTTATTACTGATTTGTGTTCCTGGGGTCAGAACTCAGATCTTTGTACTTGCTAGCTAGGGTTCCATTGTTGATTTACACTCCAAGCCCTTGAGTGTGATATTACAGATTAGATGGTCTGTTCCTGTGTTTGATGAGTATGGATATTTTTATGACTCTAAATTATAGGATTTTATAGACACACAGACACATAGACAAATAGGTAATCCAGCAAATAATACATTTTTTATGTCAGTGTTTTGTTCTGATTACATAACAGACCCATGGCCAAGCTATGCAGCAATGTTTATTGGATATTCAATAAAATTGCACAAGTAATCAATGGTCCATGAAACATTTAATCTCTTAACCTGTGTATCAGCTGAAACTGGGGCAAAGGTCTTGGCAAACTCGCAACTATCTCAAAGATCAAGGTTCTGGAAAGTAAGTCAACAGGGTCCCATTAAGATAATGACAAGACTTTTGTATTCAGACAGTCAGTGGTTGTTTTAAAAACTTCCAATCAATGAACTGTCCTTCACACAGGAAACCTTCCTGGTGTGTTTGGTGATTTTTATTTTGTTTTCAAGGTTTATGTACTTTATTTTGTGAGGGTTTTGCCTGCATGTATGTATGTACACTACATGCATGCCTGGGGCTTTGGGAGGTCAGAAGAGGCATCAGATCCCCTAAAACTGGACTCACAAATGATTATGAGCCACCATGTGGGTACTGGGGACCCCATCCTGGGTCCTATGCAAGAGGAACAAATGCTGTCAATCACTGAACTATTTCTCCACCCCTGTATTGTGCCTGGTTCTCAAATGTCCTCCCAAGGCCACACTAGAGACTTGGTTTCCAGTCTGTGGCACTGTTAGGAGGTGATGCAACCTTTAGGAGGTGGAGCCGATGGATAGAAGAAGCGAGATCAGTTGAGGGAGATTTGCCCTCCCTCACTCTGGTTCCCAGCTGCCATGCAGGGGTCAGCTCTGCTCTGCCTCGTGTGTCCTGCAATGGTGTTCTGTCTTACCACAGACCCAAAGCAACAAAGCCAAACTACTCTGGAATGAGACCTCTGAAGCCAGGAGCCAAAATCTCCCTTGCATTAATAATCTGAGTAGCTCAGGTGGTTTGTCCCAGGCATGCACAGCTGATTTATATATATTCCCTTAAAGAGGTGTGAGGGGGCTGGGTAGCTCAGTAGTAGAGGCTTGCCTAACATGCTTGAGGCTATAGGTTCAATCTCCAACATCACAAAGAAAAAACAAGAAGAAGCCTGGAGGTGATGGTGTACGCCTTTAATCCCAGCACTCACTCAGGAGGCAGAGGCAGATAGATCTTTGTGAGTTCAAGGCCAGCCTGGGCAGCCAAAACTACACAGAGAAACCCTGTCACAAAGCAACAACAAAAAACCCAAACAAACAAGCGAGAAAGAAAGGAAGGAAGGAAGGAAGGAGAAAAGCAACAACAAAAGGAGGATGAGGAACCTACCAGAATTCATTTTGAAGGCAGGAGTCATTATGCTATATTAAAAATAAGTTTCTATTTATTGTAAGAGCTGAGTTGCACGCTTTCCTGGAACCTAGCCTTCTCTAACCCATGCCCTTCACTTATTTTTGAGACTACCCTGACCCTTCCTGTCCATGCCCAAACCCTCCGTAATCATGGTGACCACATGATTTTTTTGAGATTTTTCCCCCCCTGTATTTCCTTTCTTCTGTAAAATTACTCATGATTTTGCCCAAGAAATGGATTTGGGGCTGCTCTCTTTAATCTGAGTTTGGAGGCAGTCGCTGGCCAGCTCTTGGGTGCAACCCCAATTTAAAAAATAAAAAATCAAGCTTGTTTTCAAATTTGACTCAAACTGTGGTAGTGGTCTGATTCTTGACATTGGGATTAATTTAGCCTCCCAGGAAAAGACACAAATAATAAATGCACCATCAGTTTGCGCTGGAGAAATTGTTATGTCCAGTAGCTTGGGCCTAGAAATCGCCATCTCTTTAAAAGGGAAGGGTCTGAAGCAGGCAGGTTTCACTAGTCCTACAAGTTGGGCACAAGACTATAAAGGTCCTCTAGGGCACTGTGGTCACTCTTAGAGATTATTGCACTTTACTGTTCTTGTGGCCTCTTGGTTCTGACAATATTTTTCAGCCTCACAAGTCTTACATACATGGTGGAGATGTCTCTGACTCATGGGACTTCCCACAGTGCTAAGATCTTACACACCACAGGACAAATACCCACACCTGGGATTACCACCGACAGAAAGCTGATGGTGAGTCTCTTTGAGAGGAAAACATTTATTCAGTGTTAATATACTAGCTACTAAAAGGGAACCATGTTGAGCTCTTTTGTGTGACTAATACACAGATAAATAACACAGGACAGGGTCCGGGTCCCTTCTCTGGCCACTGCCTTTTACTCTCAACTGGCTTATTAGAAAATCTGAATACCATAGATGTGATCTCAGAGTCACAGAAAAGCAAATGGTCTTGGTTTAATAGAGACGGGCAGGGCTGGGAAAATATCTTAGTGGATATTGCCATGCAGTGAGAGCGTGAGGACTGGATTCAGAACCCCAGCACTCCTGAAAGGCCCAGGGGGTGTGGTAATCCCAGAACTCCAGATGCAAAAACAGGGGATCCCAGAGGAAGCAGGTTCAGTGAGGGAGCCTGCCTCAGCATGCAAAGTGTGGCTCTCTAGGAAGACAGTGACACCACCTCTCTGGCCTCTGCACACACAAGTGGATGCAAGCATGCACACTCACACACATGCCCCCCCCACATAAACACACAAAGAGGAACATAACATTGTGTGCTTATAAGAGATCTCAAAGTCACTCCCAGACTATCCTTTTTGTCACAGAACAACTGACAACAAGTGAAAGATAAACTCCATTGGAATTCCACCTGATTCCCGTTTAGGGACTCCAGTGTTCTCTCTCCAGTTTCCAAGGAACAGTTTGATGAGTGGAATCTCAATGCAGATAACTCATTGCTACACTTAGTTTGTTCTGTTGCTCCCAGCACAGTGACTTGTCTGAAATGATGGTTCCCATCATTCCTATCCAATCCTTGTATTGATGTTACCTTTACATTTCCCACAAGGATAGACATTGCCTCAGTTGGCAGCCAGGGGCTTACCTCTGCACTCTTGCTTCAGGATGTTTCAGTTCAGACATCTGTCTTACAGTGGGATGTCGACAAGTGTCCTAAACCCAAGTCCTAAACTCACACATCTGTGCCACTTTATCCTCTCACTGGACTTTGGATGAAATCCAGTTTCCCCTCTGAGAATTTCCTATGATCCCCTTGGCAACAGCTTAGTCCCCAGCTCTCCCTTAGTGTAGGTGGGTCCAGGCCATCACCTCAGTGGCCTTTTCCTCCTGTATCAGAGAGACATTTGCGTGCCGTTGTATCTGGGCACTGGGGCAAGGAAAGGAGAAGCCACTGTCTGGCTGATCTTGGCTGTCAACTTCACCACATTTGGAATCAACTAAACGCCAAGCAGCTAGCCACACCTGTGAAGGATTTTTCTTGATTAGCTTATTTGAGGTGGGAAACCCACACTAAATCTGGATCGTTGATGTCAGAAGACACCCCCTAAATCTGGGCTATACCTTCTGGTGGCAGCTCACACAAAAGATAGTGGGAGACGGGAGCTTTTGTGTTTTGTCTTCTTGTCCCCATTTTCAGTGACAAGTTCATCTATCCTGTTCCCGAGCCACTCATTAACTGGAGTTAGAACCAGCTTCTTCCCATGTGGACTGAAAATGGCAGCTCTCTAGCGCCCCCGGGACTCCAGCAGCAGACGGGACAGCTGAGACATCCAGTCCCCTGGACTGAACACCTACCAGGTCCTTGAGCTTTCTGTCAGGAGACAGACAATGTAGGACTACTAGAATAACAACTGGTCAGCCCCTCTAGTAATCCATGTTTGGGTGTATCTGTCGGTCTTCACTCTCGTGTGTAATCATCCTATTATTTCTGTTTATTTAGAGATCCCTGACCAGTAAATACAGCTGCCTTTGTCAATCTGCATAGTTTCTGTTGGGGGGGGGGGCTGTGGTATCCAGGGAGGCTTTAGTCTAATGACTGAAATGGCATTAAGTAGTTACAGTTTATTACAAAGTTCTTGCTGTTGGTTTTGTTCTGTATTTTTAGAAAGCTGCTGAACCCATGGAAGGATCGGACTTTGCCTTGATTCATTCACTTGGTGTCCTCACCAATCATTTTCACAACACCACGTGGGAGTGGCAAGAAGCAGAATCCTCTGGCCTTCCTGTGGCCCAAATTGCTGACAGACCTTGGTTCCTGTCCCTCCCTTGCCTGGGTCCTAGAGACCGACCAGGTTAGTTCCTCAGGAATCCAGGCCCGCTCCAGCTCTAGCATGGCGGTGACGCTGAGCCTGGAGCCGGCGGGCCGCAGCTGCTGGGACGAGCCGCTCAGCATCTCCGTGCACGGCCTGGCCCCCGAGCAGCCCGTCACGCTGCGCGCCGCCCTGCGCGACGAGAAAGGCGCGCTCTTCCGCGCCCACGCGCGCTACCGCGCCGACGCCCACGGCGGCCTGGACCTGGCGCGCGCGCCCGCGCTGGGCGGCAGCTTCGCGGGGATCGAGCCCATGGGGCTGCTCTGGGCCATGGAGCCCGAACGGCCATTGTGGCGCCTGATCAAGCGCGACGTGCAGACGCCCTTCGTGGTGGAGCTGGAGGCGCTGGACGGCCACGAGCCCGACGGCGGGCGGCTGCTGGCGCGGGCGGTGCACGAGCGTCACTTCATGGCTCCCGGGGTGCGGCGCGTGCCCGTGCGCGAGGGCCGTGTGCGCGCCACGCTCTTCCTGCCTCCAGGTGGGTGAGTTGGTAGTAGGGGAGCGTGAGCGCGCGCACGTGACCTGTGTCTCTACCAGGGGCAGGACTTCCTAGGAAGTTCTTCAGTTCAGATAACACTTCAGACTTCAGTGCCTTCCTTACCAAGAATCAGGCGGGCTTTTGTTTTTTATTTTATTTTGTTTTTTTGTCAGCAAACACACACACACAGATACGCACGCGCGCGGCTAATGCCACAGGACATCCAACTTTGCATCGATTGATTCTTTTTCTTGTTGCTTTAACTTTGTTTACTCATGTGTGCATGCTTTGTGTGTGCTGGTGTGCCTGGGTGGTCAGAAGAGAGCATCAGATTCCCATGAGCTGGAGGGACAGGTGCTTGTGAGCCCCAGTCCTGGGCACTGGAAATGAACTCCCATCTGCAAACACAGGGGGGGCTCTCGGCCACTGTGCCTTCTCCCCAACCCCCACTTCCCATTCTTTGCAGCCTCCAGCAGAGCACTAGGAGTGGATAGTCTAAATCTTACCAGTTCCCCTTCCAAAATGTACTCCTTACCCAAAGTTTGAGCACTTTCCACTATAACAACCGATTTGTAGAAGTATGCAAGTAGCTTGTCCCAGACTCATTTATAAATGCCTGGTATTTTGAATGATGTTATTTATAGCATTACTCCTCTAGGACTGTGCAGTTTATTTACAAACAACATCCACACACAAAAGGCACCTTTCAGTGTTTCGTGTAAATTTATGTCCTCCTGTGGCTCTTGGGGCACAGTTTGAATTTCATAAGAGGATGAGACTGGTTAGATTTTTCTTACTCTGGGGCTCTTGCGTGTACTCAGTAGTGACAGGGGGATCTGGTTTGCGGGATTCACAGAAACCAACTAAACAATTTAGAAAGGTTTCTGAAAAAGAAACAAATTCTTTGAATTGCATGATGCCTTTGTCATTTCCCCTCTGTAGGAGATGGACCCTTCCCAGGGCTCATTGACGTCTATGGTGTTGGAGGGGGACTGCTGGAATACCGAGCCAGCCTTGTGGCTGGCCATGGCTTTGCCACATTGGCTCTGGCTTTTTATGACTTTGAAGATCTCCCTAAGGATTTCAACATCATAGAAGTGGATTACTTTGAAGAAGCAGTGTGCTACATGCTTCAACACCCCCAGGTTCTCCTGTCCTCTTGTCCTTTATTTACTAGTCTCCCTGGGAATATCTGCAGAGACGGCTGGCTGCATCCGGTGTATTGAGGCTACCCTGGTCTTTGTTCACAGAGGAAGTTTCTTTGGAAGAAATTTCCCCTTTCTCCATCACATAGCTTCTTGGTGGGGAATTCTTCACAACAATCATGTGAAATTTCATTTCACAGTAGTAAAAGTCCTCTTGTCATGAAGAGTAGGTTTCACTGTTATCCTAGCATGCTGGCTTTGTAACCTTAAATTTCCTCTCAAATTTAGTCATAGCTTGGCCACCCTTCTCAGAGGTTAGGAACTACTAGGCTGGACTTTGAAGTGTATGTTTCTATGAAGTTAATCATTTTCTAGTATGACTTGGATGGAGTTGGAGGAAACATGCAAATCCTGGGTCAGAGCTTCACCTATGTGATTCAGTATGCAGCCAAATAAAGGCTTGGTTCCGGCTCACGGCAAATGAGGTTTTGAAAGTGACAGGCTCCCTTGGCTCAGCATTCATAACCAATTCCTAAATGTGACACTGCAGGCTTGTTTGCCATGTATTTAGTAGATACTCGGTATTTAGAAAGACACTCATGACCTAATGGTGGAGGCCAAGGCAGGAGGATTGGGAATTTAAGGCCAACCTGGATTTATAATGAAATTCCATCTTAAAAAGGAATAGTATTTTAAAAAGAAGAAGAGGTCTCCTGCAAGCTGATGTGGAGACTGGAGCTAGCAGTCTTTGCAGTTGCATTTAAAAAAAGAGATATATTTATTTTTATGCGTATTGAGGTATGGCCTACATTTGTGTCTGGGTACCACGTGCATGTAGTGATCCCAAAGGCCAGGAGAGGGCAACAGATCCTTGGAACTGGAGTTATGGATGGTTGTGAGCTGCCATGAGAGTGCTGGGAATTAAACCAGGGTCCTCTGGAAGAGCAACCAGTGTTCTTGTCCACTGAGCCATCTCTCCAGCCCTTCTAGTTGCATTTTCGGGTGCTTGGTAAGTTCTTTTTAGTAACTTTTTTGGGGTGTACATCTTCCAGCGCACACTCATGGGAAAGAGGACCACTTGGAAGAGTCTGTTCTCATCCATGTTGTAGTCCCAGGATTTGAACTTGGGTCATCATCTGATTTGGCAGCAAACACTTCTATACTCCCAGCCATTCCCCCCAGCCCTGTTTTTCCCCCCTTTGGTTCTTTGAGATTGTTTAACTGACTGACTTTGAATTCTTGATCCTCCTGCCTCCATATGCCCAGTGCTGAGATTATAGGCATGTTCCATTACACTTAGCTAGAAACATTTTTGACTCTTATGGTGTTTGTTTGTTTGTTTAGGTAAAGGGCCCAGATATTGGGCTTCTAGGTCTTTCTCTGGGAGCTGATGTTTGCCTCTCCATGGCTTCATTCTTGAAGAATGTCTCAGCCACAGTCTCCATCAATGGCTCTGCATTCAGTGGAAACAGACACATACACTACAAGCAGACTATGATACCACCATTGGGCCATGACCTGAGGAGAATTAAGGTGGCTTTCTCCGGCATTCTGGACATTGTGGATATACGGAATGATACTGTAGGTGGCTATGAGAACCCCAGTATGATTCCCATCGAGAAGGCCAAGGGGCCCATCCTCTTCATTGCTGGTCAGGATGACCATTGCTGGAGGAGTGAGTTATACACTCAGTTAGCCTCGGAGCGGCTACAGGCTCATGGAAAGCAAAGGCCCCAGGTCATCTCTTACCCTGGGACTGGGCATTACATTGAACCTCCTTACTTCCCCATGTGCCCAGCTTCTCTGCACAAAATAGTGAACAAAGCTGTGATTTGGGGAGGGGAGGTCAGGGCTCACTCTAAAGCCCAGGTAGATGCTTGGAAGCAAATTCTATCCTTCTTTGGCAAACACTTGGACAATACCCAGAGCAGAACTTCCTCTAGATTATAGTGTTGCTGATATGGTAGATTCAAGGTCAGATTTTGCTGTTCAGAAACTTTAGGTGAACCAGTTTTCTGCTGGATAACATTAAATTCATGTTTGGGGTATTAATGGTTTATAGATCATTGAATAATTTTTTAGTTAATACAGTATTTTATACACATAACATGTGCTTGTGAAATATTCACATACATATGACACAATGAATAAAGTTTTTTAAGAAGTAACCCCTTATGAAAATTTATGCTTTCTCCTAAGTTGAGGGCTTTCATGGTAGCTGTGGTTGTTTTAGCTTCCTTGTATTGTTTTTTGAGACATGACTTCATTGTGTGGCTCTGGCTGGCCTGGAACTTGCTATGTAGAGAAAGCTGGCCTCACACTCACAGAGATTGCCCGCTTTTGCCTCCTGAATTAAAGGCATGTACTAACATGTATGACACTCATTTCACTATTTAGTTAATACTTTGGCTCATAGTTTAGTTTTAATGACCAGCAGGTCATTCCTCATTGACAGGGGCCTAAGGTGGAGGGCTGCCGATGAGAAGACAAAGAAAATAGGAAAGTTGGGACCAGGAGGTCTTGCACAAACTGATGACATGTGCCCAGCAAGTTTGTAAGAAGTGGAGCAGCAGAGTCTATTGTGATGGAACAAAGTCAGCCGGAGGCTAACCAGGCAATGCTTTCTGAAGGGAACACAGGATACACGTGTGTCACAGACAGCATACAGCATCCTTAGGACTGATAACTCCTCATCAAGCGAAAAGCATGTTCCCAGAAACTAAAATCTTAACTCCTTCAGGGTCCTAACTTCTTGGGGCCCCAGCCCCAAACTGAACCTTGCCAAGTCTGCTCTTGGGCAAGGACACAGAGCTGGCTTCCTTTCATCAGAATGTCTAAGAATGCCTTGGCTCTCAACAGCTAAGATTCCAGCTTGCTCGCTAGAACACTTTCTCCCGAGGTCTCGTGTACTAGCTACCACATGTGACATTAGACTACCTTCAGGCTGAGGTCCTATGTGGGTGCTCAAGATGCAGGAAGATGGCTGGAGAGATGGCTTGGTGGGTAACATGCTTGGGAGGGAGTAAAAGACAGGGATAAATGAAGCACATGGGAATATAGTGATGCTGGGCACATTGCACACACTTATCAGCAGAATGGAGTCAGAATAGACAGAAGCAGACTGAGGCTTTCCTCCAAACACTAGGTATCCATCAAAGGATTGTGAAGATATGTCTTTTATAGCTCCAAATTTCTCAAGGGTTTGGAAGCCACTCTCTGGAATAAGACTCTATAGAGGGCAGAATCCCACCTTTCATTTTTTTCTAGCCAACAAACACAGCTGCCTAATTTCATTTATAATAATAAAATCTTGGCGTTCTGAGGCTGTGTTCCCTCTTATTTACTTGCTCACTAACAATCTCCACTTCCGGAGGTTAAACGAGTAATGAGTATGTACACATGAGCATGTACACGCATGTGTGTGGGGTTTGTTTGTTTGCTTTGAGAAAAGTTCAATTCATGGGCTCAAGTGATCCTCGAATCTCAGCCTTCCAGGTGGCTGGGACTGTAGGCACGTATCTACGAGCCTGGGGTAAGATATGTATTACTAGTTTCACAGATAATCTGGCTGGTGACGTCTGAAGTCAGGAAGCCCCACAACCCTACCCTCAGTGTGTGTGTGTGTGTGCGCGCGCGCGCGTGCGGGGGGGGGGGTGTGTGGCTTGAGATGTAAGTCTCCAATCTTCTCTTGGCTACTGTAGCAGGTGATGTGTGCTGTGCTTCTGTATGCTTCAAATGTGTTGTTTTTATTGGTTGATAAATAAAGCTGATTTGGCCAATGTCCAAAAAGAATAGAGTCAGGTGGGAAGTCCAAACAAAGATACAGAGAGGAAGAAGGCAGTCAGGGAGATGCCATGTAGCTGCTATAAAAGTAAGATTCAAGAACATTACTGGTAAGCCACAGCCATGTGGTGATACACAAATTAGTAAAAATGGATGAATTTAACTGTGAGAGCTAGTCAGTAATACACCTGAGCCACTGGCCAAACAATTATAATTGATATTAAGCCTTAAAGAGGTTATTTGGGAACTGGCAGGCAGGAAGAGAAACGCCCAACTACAAGCAGGCTTTCTTTCAGGCTACCAACCAGCTCTCAAATCATGACCTGGAGACTTATTAGTTATGAATGCTCGGCCTTATTTAGGCTCTTTTTTTTTTTTTTTTTTTTTTTTTTTTTTGCTAGCTCTTATAACATAACTTAACCGGTTTCTCTTTATCTACCTTTTACCTCGGGACTTTTTACCTTTCTTTCCTCCTGTATATCTTACTTTCACTGCTTCTCACTTCTGGCTGGCTAGTGGCTGCCTAGCTTCTGGCCTGGCCCGGGTTGTGTCCCTCATTTTCTTCCTCGTTCTCTCCTACTTATTCTCTCTGCCTGCCAGCCCCACCTACCCCTCTCCTGCCTAGCTATTGGTGGTTCAGCTTTTTATTAGACCAATCAGGTGCCTTAGGCAGGCAAGGTGAAACAAATGGAACACATCTTTACATCATTAACAAAGGCAGTGTAAATAACTGTAACACATCTTTGCCCAGTTAAAATAATATTCCACAACAGGCTACCTTACAAATATTCTCTCCTGTACAACTTATTGTTTCCATGACAGGCATGCTATGTTTCAAATGTAATGGGCCTGGTTTAGTATCACAAATGTGTTGAACTCTAACATTGTGTGGCATAATAGCCAGCCCTAACCTGATGGCACTGTTTTTGCCTGCCCAGAAGTGAACTGTTCTATCTCAGTCAATAGAGTGCTCAGACCTGAGCAATAATTAACACAGGTGCTCCATGATGACTAAAGAAAGTAATATGGAGCCAGGCATCCCTTAAGGACCATTGACCTTTTGCCCTGGAATGCCTGGAGATCCTTGTGGCCTGCAGGTGATATGAGAATGGGATAATGGGCTGTGAGGTGTTAAGTTGCCTTTGCATCCTTAAAACCTGCTAATGTTATGGGAAAGGGGTAGAATGGTTGTTTTGTTGCTACATAGCCCGGAAGTCAGAAACCCCTGAGGGAAGTAAAACAGCTGCCCAGCTGTGGATTCCATGGATAGCTGTAATGTGCACCTTCCTGATGGCCACCTTAAAACCTCTGGCCAAAACCTCCCCTTCCACACAGCATGTTGAATTGACTCTGAGACTGTTGCCCTTCTGCTAGTAGTAAAAATAAATTCAGTCTAATCTAAATTTGAATTGAGTCTAAGTCTCTGGTTTCTCCCACAACATTTAGAGGTCCTACTGAGATTCCCTGGGAGACCTCAGACTCAGGGCTGGGGATCTGGGACAGATCTGCCTGGGGAGCTGTAAAATGGGAGAGGCCCTAAGAGACTTGCAAGTCTGGGGAGCCCGTGACCATGACTGACACAATGTAATGATCACTAGTAGGGGACAGCCCTGAGAGAGCAGCAAGTCCAAAGTTGACTTGATAGGCCCTGGGGAGACCAGGCAACGACCACTGGTGTGGTTATTAGCAATCTTCCTCCATGGTTAAGGAGGTTAGGGAGTGGAGTGCAGTGATGGGAATGAGCCCTCTCCAGTGAGTCTCAGGCACTTGAATAGTTGATTCCAGTCGGTGGCTATTTGGAGTGGACCAGGAGATGTGGTCTTGCTGGAATAGGTCACAGGTCGGCTTTGAGGTGACAAAGGCCCATGCCATTCTTGGTGTTCTGTTTGCTGTCTGTGGATAGAATGTGAGCTCAGACCTCTTCCATGCTCCCTGAGGTGAAGGTCATGTCTCTTAGCCCTCTAGAACCAAAGCCCAGAACCAACCCTTCCTTCTCTAGGTCGCTTTGGTCATTTATCACGGCAACAAAAATGTGACTAAACAACCCTGTTTCAAAAGCAAAACAAGCAATTTTAATTTTTAAAAGCTTAATTTTTCTTAAATGGCTATATGTTTAGTTATAATGTTTTAGAAGTAGAGGTAATATCCAGTGTTGCTCCAGGAGTTGGAAAAGGGGTTTCCTACCATGTACTACTGGTAGGAGTATATATCTCCAGCTGTGTGGTGGTGGTGCACACCTTTAACCCAAGCACTTGGGAGGCAGAAGCAGTCAGATCTCTGTGTGTTTGAGGCCAGCCTGGTCTACAGAGCTAGTTCTAGGATAACCAAGGCTACACACAGTAAACCTGTCTAGCAATAAATAAATAAATAAATAAATAATATGTTTTTAATATAGATTAGATATTGGGGTTCCTTGGTGTTGTTTTATGTTTGTTTGTTTTTAATGTGTTATTTACCATTCCTCAAGAATGTCCTTATATGTGAAGAACAGAGATACAAAGGCAAATTATTCAAAGGCTTCTGTTCACTTACTCATTAGATCCTGTGTGCTTTGTTCAAAGTTAATTCTATGTTCCTGTGTACTCTAGGCATAAGACATGTAGGTTTTTTGTGTGTCCTGAAAACTCTTGTGTTTTGGGGGGGGGCTGGCAAGATGGTTCAGCAGGTAAAAAATGCTTGAATGCTTGTGTGCAAGCCTGAGGACCTGAGTTTAATCCTGGAAACCTATCGTGGAGGGAGAAAACTGACTTCTAAAGTTCTCATCTGACTTCCACATGTATACGAGTACCCCCTCACACCGGGGGTGGGGGGTAGGGGTGGGGATGGGGTAGGGGTGGGGGGTGGGGGGTGAGATGCCTGCACACACAAATGCTCATACTAATAAGTTTTTCTGGGGGAAGGAACTGCAGATCAAAGTCTGGGCCACATGCCCAGTGTCCTAGCAGTGTACTGGTGAGTTATGTCCCTTGCCATCATACGGTAAATAATTCTGTCTGTTTTTATTGCATAAACATAGCAATGGTGAAAAACTAGATCTCTGCATCTTATGCTTTCTATATTGAATTGATAGTAGAATCCCAATTGGCTCTTACTGTCTCTACAGAATAAGACTTTGCTTAGGGGGACTGGAGAGATGGCCCAACAGGTATACGATGCTTGCTAAACAATCACAGTGTTCAGATGAGGACTCAGGTAAGAAATGGAGCACCCTGCCCACTCCTGTAACACAAGCCTAGGAGGGGAAGAGGTAGGGGGATCACTGGAGCTAGCTAGCTTCAGGCCTAGCCAAGAAAAGGCAAGGGCCTCCAAGGAATATTTGAAGATTGATGGGGGCAACACCAACTAGCCTCTTCTGGTCCATGTGTGTGCACAGACATGTGT